TATACTGTGTCCGCTGTTCCCGTTGTGGCCTCCTCTACATCGGGGAAACCAAGTGGAGGCTTGGGGACCACCTTGTGGAACACCTACGCTCGGTTCGCACTAAACAACTGCACCTCCCAGTCGCGAACCATTTCAACTCCCCCTCCCATTCCTTAGACAACATGTCCATCCTGGGCCTCCTGCAGTGCCACAATGATGCCACCCGAAGGTTGCAGGAACAGCACCTCATATTCCGCTTGGGAACCCTGCAGCCCAATGGACTTTGTGTTTGTTTGACTTACGGGCAGTCAATCAATACCTTTACGATAGATATACCAGTACAAATAAACACTGTGACTACAACAGAAGATCAGAGGCTGGGAATTCTGTGATGAGTAGCTCACTTCTTGTCTCTCCAAAGCCTGTTCACCATCTACAAGGCACATGTCAGGAGCATGATGGAATTGTCTCCGATTGCTTCGATGAGTGCAGCTCCAGCAACATACAAGAAGCTCATCACTATCCAGGACAAAGCACCTTCTTGATCGTTTCTCCATCCACTATCTTAAAAATTCATTACCCTGGCCTCAGACCAATGTTTCCTCTAAGGTTGTGCATGCTGATCAGTGGCTGATGCATTGGTTTCTGCTGTTGGAAGGCGCTGCTGTACATGGATCCCTAAGATCCATGCAGAGGAAACAGATATTAGAGGGAACATTGCCTCTGGTGCACAATGACAACAATGTGTATCATCTATAACATGCACTGCAGCAATTTATCAAACATCCTTTGACAGCAGCTCTCAAATTCACAGACTCTACCACTTAAATGGACAAGGGAAGCAGATGCATGGGAACGCCATTGCGTGCAAGTACCCTTTGAAACTACACAACAAATATCCACATTCTTTCACTATCACTGAGTTTAAAACCAGGAACACCCTTCTACCAGAACCATGGCTGCATCTACACCACATGAACTGCAGAGGCCCAAGGAAACAGCTCACCACCAGGTTTTTTTTCCGAAAACTTAACCTAGTTTCCTAATCAACCTGCTCAGGAATGTTATTACACACCTCTGGAACCAACAGTGCCCTCTCATGTCAGGTTATTCAGTTCAATTCATGATGGGCAACACACAAGTTAATCTAGTTAGTGATGTTCATATCCATGAAGAACTATAAAAGTCACAATTGTGACAGTGCTTTTCTAGGTCAGAATGTGTCTAGATTAGTTATGAATGTTATGACTTCATTAGCTTGTGGCTATGGGTAGCGGTTATGATAATGAGTTTTTGCTAATTTCTCCTTAGGAAAATGAGACTCAAAATGATTCTCTTCAAGGAGCTGGCTTCTTGGCGAATGTCATTTGGAGAATTAAATGTTGATATCTCTGTTCTCACAACTCCAATCTACACTCCCATTTTGAAAAAAGTGCTGACTCTATTGACTTTGAGTCTCCTAATTTATTCAAAACACTGAAGATTGAAATAGCAGGTACAATTTGCAATGATATTCTGAACGGAGTAAGTCAATGGGATCAAGTATAGCAGATGAAGCTCAATACAGGGAAGTGAGAGTCCACTCACTTCACAGTAAAGAATGATTTGGTTGTTTTTCCCAATGGTGAGAAACCAAGGCACTTGTGAAGGCATATACAAAAGCACTATGTGAGTGTACAAGTTTATTAAGTGTAATGGAAAGTTGCCATTTAATAAAAAGGAAGAAACACAGAAGTTGGGAAGCTATCCCTTATTTGGACGGAGCATCAGCAGAACCCATCTTGAATATGCTGTTTAGCTTTGTGTACTACATCTCAAAGATATTTTGGCCATGCAAGGGGACACATCATAAATTGCCCAGAATGACACTTAAAAAGTTGTTATGAGGACATGTTCTATGAAGTTGACTTATATTCAACTGAGGTAAGAGGAATGGGGCAGATCTAATCAAAATATATTAAATTATTATAGTTTCACTGGGGTAAATACAAAAGAAACTTTTCCCTCTGGTCATGGTACCCAGAACAAAGGTGACTAACTTTAAAATTAGATCCTGGTCATTTAGGAATGGAAATGGGGCAACTCTTTTTCACACAAAGGATCGTGACAATCTGGAAGTCTCTCTCCTAGCTCGCAAGGCTTGTGGCTGCTGGGTTCTTCAAAGTTTTCATGACTAAGATAAATATATATATATAAAACAGTCTTGAGGGGTTGAATGTATTCCTATATTTAAAATAAGCCCCATTTAATAAAGAAAGAGTTAACTCATTAATACAAAAACAAAGGGCTGCAGATGTTGATATGTATATGCATTAGACTTTGTGTTTTTGTAGAAGTACCCAAGCCTTCAATTTCAATCCTGTTAGCTGAATCCAAGATGTCAGTTATTAAAAAAGTGTCAATGTGGTGACAAAATAAACAGAGGCCCATACACTAGGAAACCCTGAGTTACTTAGACAATGTTCTCACCTAACAGTGGAGTTTCACAGAATCTCATACACCTCTCGATTTGTCTGAAGCTGGACTGAAGTTGCAGATTTGTCATTTCCAAAAGGCCTGCTCATGTGTACCTCTTATTGATGACATCATTGGAGCAGCTTAGCTTGTAGGGATACCTAAGTCAAGGTTCTTCCTTGACTAATATGATTAATACTTAAAATCAAAAATCAAATATTTTGGAGAGATTTTGTAATGTAAAATGGCTAGTATCTTTAAATTAAATAAGTTCATTTAGAATTAGATTATTCTTCTTAAGGAAAATTGTCTTCAGAAAATAAAAAAGAAACTTTTTTCACAAAGTTATTTCTTAATGAATTATGAACAAAGATATTAAATTTTAATCAAGGCATGAGAAATTTAACATGTTTACAATCTTAAATGGATTACTGTATATTTCAATGCAAATTTCTGAATTTGAAGCACTTTGGAGTCTGAGCTACACTTATGGCCTTAATTAAGATAGTAATACAGGATATTCACTGACTGAAAATGTATGTATGAGAGAACTGGGCAATACTTCATTCCAAATGATCAAATGATTTATGCCCGATCCTTGGTATTTAATTTTGCCAAGTCTCCAATCCTTTAGGTCAATGTTGTCTTTGCTATCCTTCATATTATCCCCAATTTAGTACTGAATAGAAACACTCATTCTCTTGTAGAACATACACATCCATGGCGATTTAATCTTTCAAAAACTATGAAACTAGTGGAACTATCTTCAAACGAGGATTCCTTCCACACCAATGCACAGTAGCAGCAGTGTGTACCGCCTACAAGATGTCCTGCAGAAATTCACCAAGACTCCTTAGATTGTACCTTCCAAATCCTTACCATCCAGAATGACAAGGAGAGCATATAGATGAAGGACCACCTCTCAAAACAACTTACCATCCTGACTTGGAAATAGATCACCACTTCTTCATTGCAGTTGGGTCAAAATCCTGAACCTTTCTCTCCCAGATGGTACTGTGGATGTACCTGCACCAAATTAACTGTAGCAGTTCAAGAAGACAGATCACAACCACCTTCTCAAAGGCAACTAGGGACAGGCAATGATAGATGTCCAGCAAACCCCATTTCCCTTGAATAAATAAAAACAGACTGGCCTCGTCTGTTAGAGATGTTGCTCATGTGATTATACGAATGAAGGAACATGCTTGTCATACTATTTCAGTATTCAGTGATTTTCAGTGCTCTTTCTTTCCCACACATGCACGTGTTGAGACTGGAGAGCTCAAAATGGTTCTCCTTAAAGAAAAAGAAAGTCTTGCATTTAAAAAGCTCCTTTCACAGCCCCAGCAAGTCTGAAAACACTTTACAGTCAGTCAATGTACTCCTTTTGAAGTCACAGCTGCAAGGTAAGAAGTGAGGTAGCCAATTTTCTCACATCAAGTTTCCACAAACAACAATGTAATAATGACTTGCAGTAATAACTTATAGACTGTATGATTGAGGGATAACTATTGTCTGAGACATAGGACATAACTCCTCTACTCTTCTTTAAAGTAAGTGTCATGGAATCTTTTATGTCTATATGAGAGAACATAATGGACCTTAGAGCAGACAAAGTTAAAGAGCAGGATTTATAAGAATAGTCAAAAGCATGGATGGATTTGATGGGGTAAATAAGGAGTAACTGCTAAGTGGTAGAAGGGTTCATAACCAGAGGGTGTAGAGTTCAGGCAATTGGCAAAAGAACCAAAAGCAACATGATGAAGAATATTTTTAGACAGCAAGTTCTCGTGATCTAGAATGTACCACAAAGGAGGTGGTGGAAGCAGGTTCAATAGTAATATTGAAAAGAAAATTCATCATCATAGAATCCCTACAGTGTGGAAACAGGCCCTTCGGCCCAACAAGTCCAAACCGACTCTCAGAGCATCCCACCCAGATCCATTCCCCTATAATCCACCTAATCTACACATCCCTGAATATTATGGGCAATTTAGCATGGCCAATCCACCTAACCTGCACATCTTTGGACTATGGGAGGAAACCCAAGCACCCGGAGGAAACCCATGCAGACATGGGGAGAACGTACAAACTCCACACAGACAGTCACCCAAGAGTGGTATTGAACCCAGGTGAGGCAGCAGTGCTAACCACCGAGCCACCGTGGATAAATACTTGAAACAATAAAATAGATTGGGCTATTGGAGTGAGATTAAGAGATCTACCAAACAACTAGCATAAGCATGGGGTGCCGAATGGCTTCTTTTTGTGCTGTACTGTTCTAAGATTGGTAACATCAATTAATAGATAAATGTAGAATCTTTTATGCAATAGAAAAAAAACTATGACTTCAGCTGTACGTAGTAGTAAATAAATTATTGATTATTCACCCGGGTTAAGATTATATTTGTAAACTCCGAAATGGTAGAATTGAATAATTCTATGAAGTGTTGAAACTAAACCATAAATTAGATTTAGAAGGTAACATTTGAAAATATATGTTTAACTATAAATTTTTACATTAATTTTGAATCGTTGCAAAATATAAAGTGTAAAAACAAACTTACTTTATCCTCTTCAGCCCTGAGGTCGGGCATGGTACTGATGGATAGATTAACTACGGTAATAGTCACAAAAATAACAGAAAGGCAGGCAAAGATTTTTCCTGGGAGCCCCGACTGAGGGTTTTCCACCATATCCCTAAGTTTTGTCATGAAGTGATTACATCCTGATGGTTCAACAAAATCGCCCATCCTTTCACCCTCTGCCAGATCTTCCTCAATAGTGTTCATTTCTGTAAATTCTTCAAGTTTCTGCAGATATCGGCGACGACAACACCACTCTAAATTGTCACCTTCAATGCCCCAGTACAACAATTCCTCTTGGAAAGAAAGGGCACACATTTCTCTCAAAAGTCTCAATTTCCCAGCTCTAAGGAAAGTCAAGATCGTCCTAAAGGTGCCTGGGTTCCGATCAAAGAAAAACTCATTGCATGTCACATCGTAATCGTCACAGATTTTCATTATTTCATCAAAATTGTGGCAAAATCGCAACTGCCCCAGACGTGTTAAAGGAAAATCATCCAGTGTGGTCCATGGTAATAAGTATTTTATTCCCCCAACATTTATTATAACATGGTGCTTGCGATCCTCTGGAAATGCATTGTTATACAAATACTCTTGAGAATGTATGTGGTGGGCTCTACTGTAAAACACACCTTTCAGAGTCTGTGTTTCATTGTAGATTGTTTGATTAAAGGAGTTGTCAGAGGCACAGCTGAGGGCGCTGTAATCATAATCTGAACTGTCTCCTGCCAGCAGCGTCATCCTGAATACAGCTCCTCACATCACTCGAGCCCAGTGCATTTGGAAATTGCAGCAAACTAGAAGAAAGTAGATAGAGACTGACAATGCCAGGTAATCACTCGTGAATATTTATATTCAGCATGTGAGGCCACTATAGATCATGCATGATTAGTAGTCCTTGTGTCTTAAAGAGTCCTACAATAGGATTTATATCGTAATTGGTCTTATTTGAAAACTCACGAGGAATAGTCATTAGCAGTAGAGAATCTAAATCATATTTCAAATGGTCTCTGTCCACAAAACCAAGTTCCTTTTCAAACTATGCCGGTTTGGAACTATTTCAATTATTAATTCAATCTGAATTATGATGCCAGATAAATCATGAGATACAAATCATTCCACACAGATCGTTATGAAATTAAAGCATGTTAATTCCAAATGTTTAGTAAGTAAAACTCTTATATACATTTAGGGAATTCTTTTTCCATTGATTTGTAAAACTGTTAACGTAAAATGACATTACTGTTGTATGTTTCTGTTCGCCCATTCAATGTATATTCATTTGTGATTAATAAAATACTTAAGGCAGAATTTTCTGGAATGATCGATTAAGAGGCTTCTGCACTTTTAGTTTTGCATGTTACAATACTCCACATTAGGTCCAAAATATTAATGGATTTTTTTCATGACATCTGGCATGAATTGCAATAAATTTGTCCAAATGAAGTCAACACCAATGAACTATTTTGCATTTTGTATGGACACTTTCCAAAAGACTCTGTGATTTTGAAGAAAGCACAGCACAATGAAGAAAATCCAAGTTTTGTTTAATTTAAAACTTGCTTCTGAAGATGCTGCACAGTACCCACTGAAGCCTTTTCCACCTTGTAGCTCCAAGTAATTTAAGAGAAAATTTCTGACACTAGGAACTGAGTACAACATCCAGCTGGTGTGGACATTTATTTTGAAATAACTTCTGAAAGATTAATAAATCACAGAGCGTTGCTTACAGGTCAGCTGAAAAGCCCGAACTTGATCTTTTATTGTAAATTTCTAATTCTAAAAGGAATACAAACGACAGCTTGCAGTTCTCTGTAGGCCCTCTGTTAAACAAACATTGTCACATGCAACAAGGCCAAAAAACAGCAGTGTACCTTTCAGCTTTTCAAATGCATCATTTTGTCAGATTACTGACTGAAGTCAAACTGAATTCACGACGACAACAAATGAAAAGAAAAATAAATAAAATCAAACCAGTGAGATCCTCGTTTGTTGACTCAATTAAATTTCAAATCACACCAGTTTATTTTTAAAGCAATGGTTTTATTTCGAGAGATTTATTTTTATTGTCAAAGCACTAACACATTTATTTTATATCTCCCCACCTGTTGTACCTACAGATTGCTGAGCGAGATGCCTGCTTTTTAAAACACTGCACTCAAAAATAAGCACGATTCATTATATTCTGTCACCACAGCTGGTACACAGTAACATGCGAAACGAGCACCGCCACCATAATCCAAAACTAGCTGTGATGGTACTACTGCTTCCGCGATTAAGGATAAAAAATATCTTAACATCTTCAAGAAACAGGTTAATACGAACTACAGTAAAGACAGCGGCAGGACAGTTTGTTCGGTTAACTTCATGATGTGAAGTATGTCACTTACTAGGAACTGAACGAAATGATAGTTGATCAACAGAGTAACAAGTCTTGTCAAGATTAAAGAATCCATGTTAGACATTAAGAAGCTTTATTTAACTGGAATTAATTGGTTGTACGTAACGGTGAACACTAAACGTGTAGGTGTTTCTCCCGCTCACCTCCTCATGTCAAGAAGCTATAAAGTTTGAAACAGGTTCCCTGTTTCCCTCTTAAACCGGGAATAATGACTTCGTTTATTCAAATACCACCCCGGTCTATCCAAAGAGAGGAAAATAAAACAAAAACAGTTGTAACATGTAACTCAACTATTCACATTGAACACTTACGCCTTACCAGGAAAATAACTTCACGCACCGAAAGTTCCCCGGGTTTCTGTTTGGTAAAGTTACTTTAGACAGCAGTTTTCTTAGTTAAAAACTCGCAGCTATTACACTTTGCGCCCAGCGCCTGCCCATATAAAGTATTGAGAGTGGAAACGGTATGTAAAGTAGAAGGAGGATCAGAGCCAACAGGCTGCAGGCTAATCGTCTCCAGCAAGACTGCACTGACGCCACCATCAGGAGGACGTGCTCGCTCGTTCGTTTGTTCGTTCAGAAGGTTTGAGTAAAATCCATGGCAACCGGTGCTTCCAGAATGGAGGATTCCCCCCAGATAGAAATATTCACGCTGAGGGGGAAACAACAATTCACACTGCATTATTAAAAGGGGCAGCTCATCCCTGCATTTTCTGAGACACACATGCCAATGCGAGGTAAACGCTCTGTGTATATCAATAGACTCAATTGGGTTGTTTGGTTCTCAAAAGATATAAAACGTGAGTGTTATGATTAATGAATATAATTTATGTCAGAATTGGCATGGAGTTATGTTGCAAAACATGACCGTTACGGTTTATTATTTTCAGTTAAACCCATCGTAAACCGGAGGTGTGGTATCCTGGATGAGCTACATTTCATCCAGGTACATACTTTTCATTTTGGAAATAAATTGCTTTTATGCTTAAGTAAAACACAGGATTGCCAGTGCTTTGGTGGATAATGGAAAGTAGAGAATTACAAAGGAGCTTCAAATAAAGGGACATAATAAGAAATAGATCAAATTGACTCTAGGCATTGAAATGAGACATTTAATTTTCTTCCCTCTGTGTTTTAATATATTTAGCTTTGTATGTATTTATTCATTTTAGTTCAGTTCCATTTACGTTTGTCACGCTTTTGACACTTTTTGATACCTTGATTCATTCAACCTAAAATCATCCTAAATGATGTTTACAGCAGATTGATTTACAAGTAAACATGAACTTATTGCATCAAATTGCTGTTTATTTACTGAAGACTTGCACTAAGTGCATCAAATGTTGTTTATAAATGGCTCTCCTTAAGGTGCAGCTTTATTTTTAGTTACTTGTAATTTGCAGAGCATGGATGTAGCTCTGGATCAGCCAACAGCTAACACCCTTCAATGAGCTGACAGCCTAGGTTAGAAAATCTGTTATTTGTCCTTTGCATTTGCTTATTTAACCTAAGCATATGGAGTAAAACTGGAAAGTGTTATCAACCCATAGTTAGCAGATTGGAATTTGGTAGAACATACAGCAAAATTAAGATTTACAGTTACAAGCTGTAATGACATTCATTTTAATTAACTTAAGGAAACCTTCTGCAATTTGCTGTGCTCCATATAAATAGATGTCAGAATTGTTATTTAACAATAATTTGTAACGGTCATTCATTGAAAGCTCTTAGTAATAAAATAATGTATAATTATATCATCAAAAGTCTTCAGCAAAATCAAAAATACAGGAAACACATGGTTCTTGGATTAATATCTGTAAGGTCAAATGTCAACATTTTAGTAGAACATCCTGCATTTTGTTTCCATTTCAGCTTCTACCATTTCAGTTTATTTTTCATTTCCACTGAGGGCCATGTTAGCTTTATTCAGTGGCACTTTTTTCTCTGAGTTAGAAGGCTTTAGACTTACATCACACTGCAAAACGTGAGTGCATAATCTTTGCTAGCACCTAGTCAAGTGACAGAAACTGCATTGTCAGAGATGTTATTGTCAGCAGATGTTAAATTCAGACCTGTCTGCCATTTCAGGTGGTCATGACAGCTCCGGAGTACCATTTGAAATAAAGTGGGAAATATTCTTTATGTCATGGATAACTTTTCTTCCAGAATAAAAAATAACCAAAAAAGAGACTATATATTCAAAAACTGTTGGTGGGAACTTGAGATGTGCAAGTCAGTGGTGTGTTTACAGTAGCAAGTTACATTTATGTAGCACCTTTAACAAATTAGAACATTCCAAGGGTTCATTGAAGCACTGACAAACAAAATTCGATACCAAACCACATAAGAAGATACCACAACAGGTGATGAAGTACTTTATCAGACAGATAAGTATTAAGAAGCATTTTAAAGAAGGACCGAAAGAGGTCTAAGAAGGCAAATCTAGAGCTTAATAAGTAGGTGACTGACCATATGGGTGACAATGGAATGATGAAAATGAGAACTACACAGAGGCTAGAACTGGAGGAATACTGTCATTCCAAAGGATTGATAGACCAAATCACAGAGATACGGTGGGGTTGAAGCTATGGAGGCTTTGAAACTGAGGATGAAAAGGTTAAAATTGAAATGTTTCTGGAAGAAGAGCAATTGTAGGTTAGTGAGCATTTAGGTGACGAGTGATGTTAATTAAGTTCTGGTGGTCCATTTGGTTCAATTACGGTTTTATTCTGGTGGTGGCTTGTTGGGCTTTTTCAGAGAACAGTTAAAAGTCATGATATGATGATGAAGACATCTAAAAAGTATACTGTGCAAATATCTGATTACAAACATGATTGAAAGTTCTAAATGTATGTGTAGATATGAACAGTGAAATATTTTGTTGAACATTTAACTTCAGGAGAGGGATTAAAAATTTTTCAGATGTAGAAAATTAGTAGTAACGCCAGTTGTTGTACCTGATCAATATCTTGAACTTCCCCTCACTTATCAGTCAGGGACAAATTTCACTAAAATTTCACTTCTTGGAAGAAGAGTAACTGCAGGTTAGGGAGCGTTTAGGTGATGAGTTGTTATTCATTTTCAAAGAATTGAAAATTTGGAGATAGCTCATGAGATGTACAGATATTCTTTTGAAAAATATGGACTCAATTGGCTAGATCAGTGATTGTCAAATTTTTTGCATTGTAAGTGCCACCAACCATTTTGTCAAAAAACCCTGGTCCCACCATAATAAACAAACCCTCACTTTTTCCAAGAAATGTATTTTTATGTTTACATGCATTTTAGCATTACATTTAACATTGATGAAAATTTGGAAGGATATTAAAAGTAGCAATGATTTTGCTGAGAATAAATTTTATTGTTAAGTTATTAAAATAAGCTAAGGTAATGATTTCATCATTAGTGAGAATCACGTGGCTGTATGTCAATTCTTGGACTCCTACCCAGACGATCAGGTGCGACACATCCCATTGGATGAGAAACACTGGACTAGATGATCTTATTTTACTTTGCATACTTTCATTCTCCTTTCCTGAAGGAGCTTACTGATTGTTGCATATCCTTTGGTACATTGGCAAAGTGACCATTACTCTTGAGTGAGACTCACTGGTGGCTGTTAACAAGCAACTGAGGCTGATGGCTGGGCTTATGTTTTCCTCAGAATCCAATAGTGACCAGGAGCAAGAACTCCCCTTTCAAATCCTTTTATCAGAAAAACAGAATACAAGGTGCGCCTACTATTGCCTCAGCTGAGACCAAGTAACAGCATAGAAAGAAATTACCTTGGGCCCTTCTTGGTCTGAGCTACTAGACAACACTCTTAAAGTTCCTTCATGTATTACAGACGTATAACACATATTGGGCCATATTTTCTTTTTTATTGATAACTTTAGCAAAACAGAAGAAGTGATGCAATTGCAAATGCAGGTGCCCCTGGGAAGCACTTTGAGATTGCTCCATGTATGGCATTAATGGTGCAAGATGTTATTATTGCTAACAAATAATTTCCCTGATCCTCTTGTTCTCAGCATTCCTTTCTGTTTAAAAATGAAAATTCAGCCTTAAGTTTTAACGACAGCCTAAATTCAATGCAGCAAAAACTATGTAGCTCAGAGGCTGTCCATTGACCATTAGGTAGGTTGTGGGAGAGAGGGCAATGGGGTTTCAGCAGGATTTCTCCTTGGATATTGTGGAGTGTTGGAGGGGAGTCTGGTGTGACAGGTGACTTTGCACATGGAACTTGGAGAAGCACTCCAGACCCCACAAAATAAATCTTTTCAGTTTCTTTTTGAAGCTTAAATGAATGTCTGTCAGGTTTCACTGGTCAGCGTGACCATTGCTGTCACTGTAGTCAGCAAGCTGGCTAAGTTGCCTAAAGATACTACACTAATGAAGTCCCAACTAAGGTGGCTACAGTTGTGCCAGATAGTCAACTTTCAGCGCGTCTGACCCAATCAATTAGATCCGGTACTTTTAAGTTCAAAACACGATGGCTTGAGGGAAAGGTTTGTCATTCGATGGCACTTTTTAGAAAAAGTAAATGATGGCATAACAGCATTGCTAGCTAGGCCAGCATTTATTGCCTATCCTTAATTGCCCAGAGGGCAGTTAGGAGTCAACCACGGTTGCTCTGGGTCGAGAATCACATTTAGACCAGGCTAGGTTGGTCATCATTAGATTTTTATTCCAGATTTTTATTGAATTTCAATTCCACCACCTGCCATTCATCATGTTGACTGGTGAAATTTGTTATGAAATTTTAAAAAGTTTTTGAAACGATGACGCACTCATAAAGTATATCTCGAATTTTCAAACAATGGATATTTTGTTAAGGAAAAGGCACTAGGCACAACAGCAACAGTCCTGCACCAGAAGTGATCAGGGAGCTCAGATGGAGTCATACAGTCTGGAGAGCTTTCAATGAAAGACCACATGGTCTGGTTTGTGGGTGGAGTAAGATTATTGCATTTTGAACTCAAAGGGAGAAAATTTGACCGTCCTGAAGAACAACAATCCATTGTTCCCTCTCTTTCTTTTGAACTGCTTAGGATGTATTCTTAAGATGCTGCTGTAAACAATCATCCAGAATATTGAGCAGTTGTCTTATGGGACTCGTTAGCTCATATCAATGTCAGTCATGTAAAGTAATTGTGAAGTCAGTAAATGCCCATGAGAAAAGATCCTATCATGCTATTCCTATCACGACCATTCACTAATTCAAAATGCATATGAGAAAGATGTTGCTCAATTCAGAATGGTCAAGAGATTATGTTTTTATATTAAAAAGCAGAAAAGGAGAGCATTATGCATTCTATACCTTGTGCCAATGTGATATCAAGATCAATCACTGAGGAAAGGGAGATTTGAATCAGCAGGTTTTATCAGAAAAGCACAAACTTACCACTCAAAATGCAGAGACATCATCATTGAGCTCCTTTTTCAAATCAACTGTGTTCTCTTAAAAGTGACTGATGATGAGCTGTAAAGTTTACCATGGTGTGAAACTATGTAACTACCTGTCATGTAGGAGCATATTAACCATGGTGTAGAAGTTGATGAAGAAATCTACAGTGACTCCTCTGTGTTGAGACACTTCATATGTCAGAGTGAAAACCACAGAAATACTAAGCGAATCGAGTGCCATATTTTCTACAGAGAACTTGGAATCCATTAAAGCCAATAAACTTTTTCTACCTTTGCAACTGACAGTGACATGGGTAGCATGGTGGCAGGGGATGGCACCTGGCTCAGTGGGTAGCACTGATGCCTCACAGTGCCAGCAACCCAAGCTTGATTCGACCCTCAGGCTACTGTCTGTGTGGAGTTTGCACATTCTCCCTGTGTGTGCATGGTTTTCGTCCAGGTGCTCCGGTTTCCTCCCACAGTCCTAAGATTGCAGTTGAGGTGGATTGGCCATGGGAATGCAGGGTTACAGGGATAGAGTAGGGAGTTGGATCTGGATAGGATGCTCTTCAGACAGTGTGGACTCAATGGGCCAAATGGTCTGTTTCCACGCTGTAGGGATTCTGATTCATAAATTTTTCCCTTTAATTTTATGATACAGTATTTCAATTTTGAGAAGGGGGTCTAGCATTTACTTTTGGATTTCAACAGATAGCCAGGAAACCTTGGAAGCAATTGAAAAGAAATATCCAAAACAAATGTCTTTGATCAGAACTTAGGGAGCCTTTCCAGTATTCAACAAATGTTGATTTCAGAAATACAAGGTTACCAAAAATTGAACTCAAAAGACATTGTAACAGCCAACTGTTTGGCTCTTATATTTCACAATGCAAAGTGGTTCATTGTTGGAAACCTTGATGTTGATACAGAAAACATTATTTTCAAGGGATGGTTTAATTTAAATATTTCTGGGAGTAGAACAATTGAGGGATTTCAGTGACCTTGTTGAAGTGGAGGAATGCAAACTATTGATGCTGTAGGCCAGCTACTATCAGGCTGTTGAAAAGCTGGAAACTTATTACCAGTTACTTTCAGAGTGTAGGTGAGCAACCTTGCCTTGAAATTCTATGGAAAAGATTGTTTGATGCTGGTTTATTAATGAAGTGGCTGAACATTACATTCTCTTTGTCAGTAATGCTCTGAAAGTATCCACAGGCTGTAGTGAAGTTCTAGAGGGCAAATTATTCAGTGTCCTGTCAGTCTCCAAGCTGATGGGTGACATGAGGAGGAACCTGAAGGAAGACTTCTGGACCAGGCTCACAATGAAATATGAAGATATGGCAGGAGAATGTGAGAGACTTTAGAAATTTGTTTCAAAAGAGTCAAGAGGTATTTGTTTGACAGATAAGACTTGTCCGAAAACAATTTTCACAACACAATGTTCAAAGTTGCACTTGCAAATGCTGTGTCATTTGAAGAATCCTGTGACTGTGTTCAAGCACACAGTCTTAAAGGAATTGACAAGGATGTGTTGTATGAAGTATTTGGCAGAGACGCACTGACGATGTTACCTAGCAGGATGACGAAACGTCTGCAATCAAACATACCAGCTTGGCGAGTTAGTCTACCAACTTCATCCACAACCCGAGCTACAAATCTTCTCAAAAACTTTAAACATTTTGTCTTTGCTTGAGATTAAGTATTGCTAGAGCAGTGAGGAATGGTATCTGAATTTTTTTCAGCAGAGCCTGGGGAGAAATATTGACAAACATTAAGAAAATCACTTCTGACATAACTTCCGTACCATGCAGCAACGTTCATACAGAACATGTTTGCTCCATGATGATTGCTATTTAGAGAAAATAAAAGCACAGCCTTGAAATAGACAGTGTAAAACTTTCAGAGAAATGGCTATACTAGGGGAATAATACACTTATGCAAGCTATCAGGAATGGACAGAAGTATAAACACTAATTGTTCCAACAGTGGGATCATTGATGTTAAATTGTTACTGTTATTAGTTATTACACTACATACCTTTGTTATTAAAAAAGTTAATATTAGCAAATATTACTTAAGCAATTCAGTGTTGTATTTACAATTGCAGTCCTCATTATAATTAATTATATTGGCAGATCATGAATTTGTAGCCATTTGTAAATGGGCACATGTGCACATGTGCAGTGATTGGATGCCCAGATGGTAGACCTGTGTCCTGTATTCTGATCCTGAGTCTCAATCCCAATGACTGTATATTGATAAGCTGACCTGAGTCAGGCAAATTCCTTAGCTGCCTGGTATTAAAATGTCACAGCTAGTATTGGGAAAGAAGATTTGTTTAACTCTAGTACCCGAGCAACTCTTGTGATGCAATAGTATAGACCCTAATTTTGAGCAAGGAGGCCTGTGTTCAAGTCCCACCTACTGTAGAGGTATATAATAACATTGCTGAACATATTGATTAGAAAACATCTAACTTTAACACATGGTCTGCTACTATCAGTGTTCAACCTTTAGAATACTTCAGACTGATAATCCAAGTTGAATGGAAATTTAGGAACCTAGCACTTCACAGAATATAAATGAAGCCACAGGGGATGTTCAAACAAATCTAAAAATGTCAGACTTAAATTAGAAAAAGAGATGAGAGGACACACTTCTGGGAACCAGGGACTCAGCTTGGCTGCATAATTCTTATCTCTGTCTCCTTTCCCCAGCATTGCCTAAAATGCACTCTTTGAAGAACAGGAACACTTTAATTTAGCCCTGCGCGTGATATATTGATGACCTATGTTTTTGGTTGTATCTCTCTTGTGAAGTGCCTTCGGGTGTTTTGCAATGTTAATGGCCCCATGTAATTCCAAATTGTTCATGTTAGAAGAATTTCTGGCCCCAGAAGTCAATGGATGACTGTCGTAATATTTGCACTTGGACCCTAACTGGCAATGCTTTCTGAAGCAAACATTGTTGAATTTTGCTTGCCTACCTCATACACTTAGAAAATCTGGTGCTGGCTCAGCGTTGGGAATAGTCCAGCTCACATCTTCTGAGATGTCATGGTGCTCCCAGATCCTCTGTGGATGAAGGCTGAACCTGTTGGAAAAGGAGTAGTCTTTCCTTTTATTTGAATTTCCATCCCTCACCTGGATCTCCCTCTTAGGACCTATTTGGTCTACCATGTCCAAGATGAGGGAAAGTGAGCATCCCCAGTGTAGGGTGTCCTTATTTTGACACTGCCCTTAGTGTCACTGGCCTTGTAGAAGTTCTGCCTTATATGAAGTCTTGACTACAAAATCCTGAGATTGGCAAATATGCTGATTGTCTGCTGTTTTAAGGTAAAGATCTCCAATCATCTGCTGAGGTTATCATGGGTATCCAACTGAATCCTCAATGAAATCAGCCCCGCTGAATCATTGTTGAGTAGCTAGAAGCTGTTTGTTGTCATGCTGTGTTTTATATTTTTTCTCAAATTAGATGCATTAAAAGGTGATAACCTGTTCTACAGGGTTCCCTGAGATCTTTAAGTGTATTTGATTATTGTTTCTTATTAAACTGCATTGCAAGGCTCTTCCTACATCTTTCTATAACCTTGCACCAACCTTCATTATTATTAACAAACTGAGATTTTTAAGTACATTCATTGAAGATTTTATGTTGTTATAGGTGGAAGTAAATCTCTTAACTGTATACCAAAAGTGGGGGAAGCAGGATAATTTGTCCTTTCTGCACTTCAGTGTGGGAGTGAATAGTGATGAGTTCTTTATATCTGAATAATGTTAATACACACTCTAAAATTTTCATAAATTTTATTTGTCAGCTGAAATGAAGATTGATGGATCATATGTGCAGTACTCAGAAATTCATTTAAATGAGTAATGTCATCAAACTTCATAAACCATTGTTTAAGTCATTTGCAAACGTGGCTTAATTATTTCATTACAAGTTTATTTCAAAGTCTGAAAGTTTGAAAGAATGGCTGCAATTTTGAGAGTAAGTAACTTGACACCCATCCAGGTATCGTAAGCAACTATTTGAACAAGCAGGAAATGAAGCTGAATTGCAGACAATTTGCATTCGAGGGGGAGTAAGGATGCAGTTTTTGCTGGCAACAAGAGATCAATTAGTCTATGACTAGTGGCAGTTATCAATGAACAGAGACCTTTCTTGCTTGCCATGTGATTAGTTCTCAGGTAGGGAGAGAAAGAGAGAGAGAGCGAGAGAGAGAGAAAACACAAGAATTATGAACAGAAGTAGGCAATTCAGCCCCTTGATCCTGCTTCACCATTTAATAACCTCATGGCTGATCTCATCTCGGCTTCAACTCATCTTACTGTTCAGTCTCCATAACCTTTCAACACATAACTAATTAAAATCTCTCCTCGTAAGACAAACCCCTCATCTCGGGAATCAATCTAGTGAATCTCCTCTGAATGTCTCCAATGCAACTACATTCCTCCTCAAGAGGACCAAAATTTTTTGCAATACTCCGGTGCAGTCTCACTAATGCCTTGTACAGTTTAAACAATATTTGTTTTATTCATTCATGGGATGAAGGCATCGCTGACTAGGCCAGCACTTATTGTCCATTCAAGAGGGCAGTATTGCTGTAGATGTGGAGTCACCTGTAGTCCAGATCAGGTTAGGATGGCAGTTTCCTTCCCTAAACAACATTAGTGAACCAGATGGTTTCTCTCCTCAGCAATCAACAATAGTTTCATTTCCTTACTTTTATACTTTATTCCTTTACCAATAAATGACAAAATTCCACTTGCCTTCCTTATTACCTGCAGTACCTGCATACTAGTTTTCTGCAATTCATGCATATCCCTCTACACTAAAACAGTCTGAAATTTCTCTCCATTTAAATAATAGGTTGCCTTTCTATTCCTCTGCGCAAAATGAATAACCTCACACTCATCCATGTTAAATTTCAAATTTTTTCAAATTCTTCCAAATTTTGGCCGATCCACCTAACCTTATCTCTATCTATTTGTAATTTTCTTTTTCATCATTGCACCTTGCTTTCCCACCTATTTTTGTGTCATCTGCAAATTTGGCTATTTTAGAGTGAAGTTTCGAGTTCTTTCCCAGCTCGGGAACAGTTAAAAAAAAAGTAACCTGAAGAAAGAGATAACAAGCTGTAGAGCTGGATGAACCTGATGAAGGGTCTAGGCCCGAAATGTCAGCTTTCCTGCTCCTCTGATGCTGCTTGGCCTGCTGTGTTCATCCAGCTCTACACCTTGTTATCTCAGATTCTCCAGCATCTGCAGTTCCTACTATCTCTGTAACCTGAAGAAAACCAGTTTATTTTTCCCGTGACAGTTGCTGTAACCTGTGACCTTTAACTGATAAGTCAGAGATTTTTTAATGTGCCAGCCACATTGTGTCTCCTATCAACATGTGGAAGCGTCTGGAGAAAGATGATTTAAGCACTGTGGGGCCAGAAGAAGAGCCATTAGGATCATCTCAACAACGGAACCTAAGAACAAAGTCTGTTACGTGCATATATGTGTGTGTAAGGAGGAGTTAATAAAGGGATTAGAGTTTAATTAGTGCTATTATAAGACAATGAATTATAGCTGTTTACCATTGCTCGAGTTTAATTACTTGTAATAAATGGTGATTCTGTGCTTTCTATTGATGCCAGTCCGAAAGACAAATAAATTGGGGAAATTTGTATATTTTTTAAAAGTCATTACACCCATTGGTGTCAGCAACTTTTTGATCTTATTCCAGGTAGAAACAAACAAAAAAAAAGCAGAGACTGAGATGAACACACATGGGCAACTTGATCTTTAGCAGTAGGATGTTGCACACACAACCAGACACGTGGCAGCACGGTGGCTCAGTGGTTAGCACTGCTGCCTCACAGTGCCAGGGGCCTGCGTTTGATTCCATTCTCAGGCGACTGTGTGGAGTTAGCACATTCTCCCTGTGTCTGTGTGGGTTTCCTCTGGCTGCTCCAGTTTCCTCCCACAGTCCAAAGATGTACAGCCTAGATGAATTGGCCATGCTAAATTGCCCGTAGTGTTCAGGGATGTGTAGCTTAGGTGGGTTACAGGGGGAGGGGTCTGGGTGGGATGCTCTGAGGGTCAGTGTGGACTTGTTGTCCCAAATGGCCTGTTTCCATGCTGTAGGGATTCGATGATGATGGTCTATGAAAGACTGTGAGAAGAATGGGGTATTAAATAGATGATTTTAAAAATCAGTGTTGTTAAACAAGCTGATCCACATGATGCTTATTACTATATTAATAAGAACAAGTTGCACAATGGAAATTAGTAAAACATCTGTAATTACGTTTTGGATTTTCAATTTACTGCGAATAAAGCAGGTGAATGATTCATATCAAGCCTTGATATCACCCAAAAGTAACTGATTTGAATCTTTGAAGAAATATGTGCACAGAAGGCATGATTTGCTAATCTGGATGACCAAGGGTATTGTTACATCTCTCTGGCTTTTATATTATAGAAGTCAGTACAGAGATTTGTAAATCAGCTCCTTAGCTAAAAGTAAGATACTCAGAATGCTTCAGGGAGTGACTAAGGACAGTGAACCTGAGAATGTTCCTATGGCAGTTTCAAATTTGTAACACTTGTATTTTTTCAAGTTCGTACTTTGGAAGAACTGACTGAATTTTAGTGGAGAAGGCTAATACAAATGCTTTGCTTATGAAAGCTTTGAGGCACCCTGAGATCTAAAG